AAATGATTCTCTTGAGAGGTGATTGTCATCTCAATTTACTGAATGGTGATGATGATTAAAATTGGACAACGAAACAAATCACATTGCAAGATGGGGAAGCACGTAATACGACAGCCTGAAGCGATGTGTCTAAATGTCGAAAGGCTTAAGTAAGTCGTGAAGAAACACAATTGGCGATATTGCAATAGTACGTGTTAAAAATGGTCGTAAGAGGGCCGATAAAACAGGAATGAGGCATAAAAATAACTGTACGAATGTTAACCTTAAGTTGTTCACCCAACTGACGGAGGTAGCGCAATTCATTTTGTCTTTGAGTTTGAACTATAATTCGCTCCTCCTGATACTTCTTTTCCAATCGCTCTGCAGCCTCCTTCAATGCCTTTGCCTGGTGTCTTAAAACGTCTATTTCATCCTCTAAGTACTGAATCTAGCGCCAAAACAATGTAAACGTTGTAGGGTGTTTTGGATTCCAGATTGGTTAATCCTCAAGCTGCATAATTAACTCCAATCTTTTCCCCTTGTACTGCGTTATATGTGAGAAGAATACCTGTTTCAATTTTGGTGGCAACTTACAAGCACCCATATTATTATTAAGTCGCACCTGATGAGCAGACTATTCACTTTAGGCGGCTACACATACCGAGATTTGCAAATAAACTCAAAAACAAAACAAATTATAAAAGTATCTCAAAACAAAAGCACAGCCCACACTTCTCAAACAGATCTGGGTAAGTAAATCCACGTCTTATGAAATAGGACCGGATTTAAGCTCATGTCCGTTTTTATAAATTGTATGGAGGCGGAAATATCAACAAAAACGTGACTTTTTTTATAATTACGTTAGTACTCACTTTTGTAAGCTGAGCGCTTTTGATGTGAAAGGCCTGCAGATTCTTTCGACACATAAAAGCATCATTGTGTTGCATCAGAACTGTGTACGATTCAATAATATTGTAATGCTCCTCCAAAACTTGTTTAAACAACAGGCCCCTCTCTGGACACTCAATTATAAGCTAAGATTAGGGAAGTGGAAATATAAGTGATGATGATAGACGCATTGATAGGGAATAAATTACTTGAGCAGGTCCATTTGGTCTCATTTTAAAGGATCCACTAATTTGAACTTGGGTCTCTAAAGTCTTTAGATAATAGATACCTTTGATAAGGGGTTAATTTTAAAAGCTTGATGAAATTGAATAAGGTTGCAGCCTATTAATTTGCACAGACAACCAACAGATCTGTTCATGTTTATGAATGCATAAAGGTCAAACTGTTTGATAGTTCAGTGGTGCGATATGAGACTTACCTGTCTGAGCAGTTCTCTTGCAAGACAATGGAGAGTTTCCTCACGAACATGACATGGAGGACGTGTTCTGGCTGCTCGTTGGCAGAGAGTCATTCGCAGGTCATTTAAAAGACTCACCAATTCCATGGGAGAGGCCTGAGTCTCCCGCACCGTGGAAGCGTACAGATCGTCTCCCACTCGTTTAACACGCATCGGAAACTCCTGTGTGAGCAATTTTACAACTTTTTCATCCGCTGGCTTGTCGGTGGAGACCATCATTTTACAATAGTCAATAGGGATATCTGACATTGATACTCTTTGGGAGTCTGGGCATACGTGGTCTTTGGATTCGGGTTCATTCTGAAGGAGAAGACAAAGTATACTAAAAAATGCTATTAAATTTTGAACGTATGATGCATCTCATACTTACTGCAAAGCAGCAAAAAAAGCTAACAAATTAGTAATGATTTTACATCTATTTTAATTGTACAGTCTTACTTCCAAGTAAGCTTTCTTTTCAACCCGTACAGGTGGATTGTATTTAACAAAAAGGCAATCCTCAGCCTTTTCTTCACAAGGTATAGAAACTCTGCAATGTGTAATGAAAAATTTTAATAAACGCCAACTCTTTTATGTAGTAATGAAATATCAAAAAGGAAATATATGTTTGTGAAGTGTATAGCCCAGGTAGTTAGTTAACTCTATGCCCTCAATAGCTATCGTGTACTTATATTATTCGGAAAACACGTAGTTTAAAAAAATATGCATCACAATAATAAACACGCTGGATTTTAAAGCACTCTAGGGAAAAATTAGAAAAAGTTAATGTGTAAAAACTGGAGTGATTGACATCGACAACACCTGACTGGCTTCCTTGATGGAGAAATACTGTATCTGAATCTCAGCATCTTAAATATTTCGTGTCGCTTGTCAGCGAGGCTGCCTACAAGAAATACAACCATTGAAAGAATAAAATTACATCAAAGTATGCAGTGATACGGATAAACCATTAGATTCAAGCAAGTAAAAAGATGATATTGGTAACACGTAAGGCATCTTAATGCATGCATTCACGTGTAACAAAAGTAACTTGCAGCCAATTATGTGATATAATGCCCTAGTAAAAAATTCACAAATCGCTGTTATTCCAAAATACTAGAAGACCCTGCACATTTACGATTACACCACAACAGTAAATATTTGAAACAAAAACAAAGTACTGCAATATGCTGGTAGTCCTGGCAGTAACATTAAAAATAAATTAAAATGCACCAATAAACTTCGCTGTGAAAGCACGAACTGTGCTTGCATCCGGAATAAATCTTGACACCAAGAGCTTTAAGTGTTAATTATTTTGCTGTTACTTTTACTAATACAATTATTATTTAAGCATTGCATCTATGGGTATGTACAATAAAATTCTGTTGGTGCGTTCGTTCTCATGATTTACTGTAATATGGGAATGTATGAAAAGCTCTATGCCTCCATGCGACAAATTTGTTACAAATTTATCTTAAAAAACCTAGAATTGAAAAGAAAGTTCAGCAATGCGTTAAGTTTATTTTCAACGGGAAAACGTTATAGCGTTTAAAATAGGTTTTGAACAAAAGCTCAAACAAATGAAAAATTGTCGCACGAATGTTAGCAGTCGCCTAAAATAAGCAAAAGCTCATGTTTTAAATTAATATTTTTTTACTTTTTTTTAAATTTAGTTACTTATTTCGTACGCGAGCATTTCGTGGTTGATTCAAAATATTTCAACACATTTCTGTATCCGCAACTATTCACACCGTGGGGCGTCTCATGCTCTGTAAACCCGAAACGCAATGCATAGTGTGCTAAATTTTTCAATTAACTTAAACATACATAAAATCAGTGCATAAAATAAAAATAAAAATCGTATTTTACAATGTGCCTTTTTAATCTCTGTACGTGTGGCGCCTAATTTAACGGTCCTCACCATATGGTAGGCTACGCATTCTGATTTATCTACTATCCTTAGGCTAACATCCCGGCTTTGCCTGATGCAAGCGCTTGGGCCTTGCTTAATCTGAAATCTGGTAGTAAAACCAAACAGACTAAACAGTTAAAGCGTCTACAGCATGGCTCTACACCTCTCAAACCACCAAATGATTTGCGTGACGAAAAAAAGAACCGTAGAGTTAAGTTTAATTTGAATCGCGAGCGTCTGAATCTTTGGAAGGGCCCCGTTCATCAGAATCGGTTGGCGGATCAGCTAATTTTTCCTCTCAGGAGTCATGCCATTCAGTTTTCTACTTCCGATGAGGCTAAGGAAGCTAAACAGCTGAAGGCGTTAGAGGCGTTGAAAGGTGATGCTGGATCGCTTCAAGGGGCACTTTCTAAGATTTTGTATAAGAAAACGGCTGAGCCGTAAGTGTAGGCTTGTTTTCCTTTCACCCCTTTTCAATAATTTCGTAATCTATCAATTTTTCACTTTGAGTTGATACGTATAACACTGTGCTTTTTTGTTTTTGTTACTTTTGATTTTGTGTATGAATAACAGATCGTGCTCTTATGCTTACATTTTTATGAATTGTATGTCAAGCACTTGCCCAAACATTTGGGTTATTTGAGGGCCTCTTTTTTCTTACTGTAGCGTTTCAGCCGTAAACAAGGAAATTGACGAACAGTTGAAACTCGCCCATAAGATGTGTCTCAAGGCCTCCGATCAAATGAAGCAACGGTTGCGAGAAGTGACATTGCTTCACAAGGCTAAGCTCCAAAAGCGAATCAAGAGCAAGAGTTATCATCGTCGTGCTAAGCGGCGTAATATGAAAGAATTTGAGAAGGAAATTGCCCTTCTGCGTTGCAATAACCCTCAAGCCTTTGCTGAACGTCTGGTTGAAGCAGAACGTGTTCGCGCCAAGGAGCGAGCAAGCTTGCGACACAGGACAGGCGGAAAGTTTGCGAAAATGCAACGTCTGCGGGCGAAGTATGACAAGGAGGCGAGAGATGCTGTGGCTATCATGCACGATCGGGCTCGAGACTTAACGAAACGTCGCCAGAATATGGATGACGATGATGATAGCGATTCTGTGATATCAGAGCTTAATATCAGCTCCTCGGAGGAAGAGGAATCGAGTGAGGAAGAAGTTGCTATCAGTGACGCAGAAGTGGAAGAAGACGGTATAGCACCTCACCTCACTAGCTGGTGGTCTAAAGTAAATTGCGTTTCTAGAGTTTTAATAGCTCGTCATACATTTTAATTGTCAATCCTTTGGTACCTGAAGCATAGTTGTTTGTTTCCGTGCCGATCGCCGTTAACGTTGTTTGGACAAAACATTCGTGATGTCTAATGGCAATATTTGAAGGGCAATGCATATTAGTTTTACTAGCTCGATTTAAGTAAAAAAGACGACATGGTTAAATGTATCCCGTACCTTGTAATCCTTCAACCTAGTCCTGGGGCGGGAGCTAGGCGCTAATTTTTGTGAGTCGAACTTGTAGCATTGGAAGTTTGCTACTTCATCTACTTGGGTTTAAGCGTCATAAGCGAGCGTGCTGGATTGTATTTTTCTCTGCATATTTCAATAGGCATGTCAATCCAACGAAAGTTGCCAGGACTAGTAGATTTATTTCATTTACTGTTTCTCTTTAGCATTTTCCATTTGTATATATCATCTCAATCACCTGTTTAAATATGACTTTGTGAATCCTTGTGGGTCGTTCTCACCAAGGCTACATTTTCAATTGGTTATTCTTCTCAAAGGTTGAAAACCAGCCAGAAAAGCCTGCCTCTCCAGAGTTGGAAGAAGGAGATGATGTCGAAATGAACACCGTCACCCCTGCCGCGCCAACTATCCTCTCTACTCTTGCTTCAGATGACATGCTCCGAAAGTCTGTCCCTCTCTCTACCGATGCCAACTCCGATGTAAAGACCGCTGAGTGCCTAGATCCAACGGACGAAAACTTCTACGCTGCCCTCCAAGAGGCAGTAGGAGACGTGAGCGCAGTGGAATCGGCTGCGGCAGAGTTTGAGGCGGAGAAGCGCGCTGTAAAGGAGGAAGAGGAACTTAAAGATCTGGACACCTTCCTACCTGGTTGGAATCGATGGACCGGTCCTGGCACCGAGAAAGCGGACGAGAGACTCCGCCGCAAACGCCTCATTAAGGCGCCTAAGCGTAGACGTAAGGATTTGGGACGTGCCAGGGTCATCATTAAGGAAAAAGTGAACGAGGAACTACGGAAGCATTTGGTAAGTGTATTTGGCCTCGTTGTCACTTCTCTATTCGAGATTCGAATCTGATGGTAGCTCGGCACCATTAATTTGGTTTCGCTCGAACGCTCACTCTGTGTCCCCTATAAACTTCTGCGCTGTTTAGCTTAATCGTCTGTACTTTACAGTTTACGATGCTGCCTCCAGGGCAGGCTTGAGGAAGAATTAAAGTACTCGCCACGCACTTCACTGTCAACCGGTACTTAGGCAATGGTTCGGTTCGGGCTTGACTAAGTCGAAATTCAGTTTGAACCTTAACCCAGTCAGGTTCATTTATTCACTTTTCAATTCTTTCGACTGTCTATGCATTCGTTCTCATAAACCATGGTCGGCTACTTTCCAACAATGGATGCTTGCCTCGAAAAAGCCCTTTCAGACAAGTCGTAAAGGTTGTTATTTTAGTTCTCGCAGCGTTGGAGGCCATTCAAAGAGCTTTGATCACACTTGACATCAGGAGTTCTAATAGTTGGCATGTTGTACCAATGCAACCTTTCTCTCAAGCCGTGGGAAGCCTGAATGCTTGCATATTCTTGGATTGGTAAACAGGTGAAGAAGATACCCTTCCCCTACGCCACACCAGAGCAGTACGAGCAGGCAATGGCACAGCCAGTGGGTCGCGAGTGGACCACAGAAGCAGCTCACAAGGAGCTCACCAAACCCAAAGTCGTCCTCAAGGCAAGTCGGATCATTAAACCAATCAATCGGGACGTCGCTCTGCTTCGAGAGAAAGATTGTCTTCGTTTACTGACGGGCAAGAAGAATGTTTGATGTGGCAGATCGTGTGAATAAAGCTTTAGTGTTGATGTATATGCGCCGGAGGATTGTCCTTTTCCTTGTTGAGTTGAATCAATTGGCAGTGGCGAGGGAAGGAGAGACGTCCTGGCCTTGCCAAGCGGGAGTCTCTTTGTAGCTATCACTTGCCGTCTGACTTGTTGTGACTGGCTTCTGCTACGAATCTTTCACTCTCATTGAGTATCTTCAAAAGCATTATTTTGTTGACACATTGGGGGCACCTATCTGTTCCCTTTGTGATTGAGCCTAATTAGTTTGTGCCATGTCGTTCAATTGCAGTGCTGAAGTTGAGTCAGCGGTAGATTGTAGTTGATTGTAGCCAAACTTGGCTTCATGCAGTGTGTCGTAGGCCTCGCCACAGGCCTACTGAGGTGAGTGTTTTTGTTTTGCGGCTTTAAGGCAGGCTCAAAACTGCCCTCCTTTCACAGCACTGTTCTCGAAGACAGTTGTGAGACCGAATCCACGTCTGAGGCAGAGCCTCTGTCCACTTACGGTGTTGGGAGGGTTGGTGGATTGTGTTTGTTGAGGTTGCAGGCAATTTTGTCGTCAAGAATTCAAGCCTCCATCTAGTGAGTACTTAATTTGTAAGGTAGAGAAGGATGCCGCCTTGTCTCGTCCTTTCTTCCGAGTTTGTCACCTGCGTTCGGTACTAGGTAGGTGGTCGAGTGTCGGGAGTTGGGGAGTAATGGAACGAAAAGTGGAGCCCTCTTATTGGACATGAAGTGTCATCCCTTCTCCTTTCCCCTCAGGGCCCAGTTATGGTGTGTTAGTCCTGCTGCCGAATGGTGGCTTGTTGGGCAGCAGTTCTCCTTCCTCACTCCATAAAACCGAATTGGGTAGTTTTTACACTTGAAGTCCTCCTCAAGCTCCCCCACAATATCAGTGCTACCTCTCGAACGATGAGCATGGCAAATCTGCGGAACCATCAATCAATTTAGGACAGTTGTAAAAAGCGTTTTGTTAGCCTGTGGGAGATGACGCAACAGTCGGAAGGTTTGAGAATCTCCATCGACTTCATTCCACCTCCGTATTGGAGTGCACTGGTGGATTTCGTTAAAGATGTTCCAGCCAACTTCTGGAAGGAGAAAACTGGACTAATCAATTAGTGATTCCATGCGCCTGTTTGGCATTTATAATTCCTGGTTTTGCACACTGAATGTTTACTCTTCCCTTCAAGGTACAGAGTTGGCGCTTACATTCAGCTGATCTGTGGTTTGAGGTAATGGCAACGCTCCAAGCATTAACAATTTATGGGCGCCCAAGAACTGGAAGGGAATTACTGTATTAGTCGATTTGGCGTTTACACCCACCTGAACGGTGTGCAATAAGAGTGTGTTTTAGCACAAAGTTTCTGTAAAGGGGCGGTTTGTTACTTCTTCATTGTATCTCCTTCAGCGGGTTGGACTTCAAGCAGTCTCAGTAGTCGATCCACCCTGTTGAACCTTACATTTGTAGCGTTTGCCCAGGTTTATATTCTCTTGAGTCTGTGTGGAGGTTCTGAAGTGATGCTTTGTGAACAGCGAGGAGAAATCCAATCGTAGATATCATCTGTTCTAATTGGGTGTGACGGGATGGGAGAATTGGCGCTGTCCCTCAACCGAGGGGCTGTAAGCATTGCTCGGCCTTGTCATTTGTGCAGTTCTGTCGATTGCAAGGAAGCTGCAGCGACATATACCTCGTGGGTAAGAGACAGGACACAAAGCCGAATACTTTGGTGGAGGAACGGGTCGACGCTACTCAAGTCTCGCTTTAGACAGCATCTGAAATGGACTCAGACGATGGCAGAGCTACGGTTATCAAATGAGGTTACCATTTTTATACTTCTAAACTATTAAAAGGGGTTCGATCCAATTTGTCGAACTTTGTGCTATAACGATGACGTTTTCGATGGTTAAAATTCATGTGGTTAAGTTTAGGCAGAATGAAGTGTTACGGATGAAATAAAGCGTTAAATACACCCACACTATTATTTAAAATAGTCTCTCCTGTCATTTAAAACTGCTTCAAAGACAACAAATTTCCAGCTTACGCTTGCTGGTTTGTGTAAGAGGTCCCTCGCTGGGTGGACTGATACCCATAGGCTGTCTACTTTTGTCTATGCAGAAAATTCTGATGTAATGCTTTGTTTATGTGACTACCTAACATTTGGCGGTCACTTTGGGATTTGTATGGCCCTTGTACTCGTGAGCTGACCTTCGGGTCACGGTCAGGCCCATTGCTCTGTTCTCCTCGGAATACATGTAACCAGCCTCACTTACTGCCTTCTTCCACCCTATGGGAAGTCTCCGGACGCTACATCAGAGTCTTGTATAAATGCTAGTTGCGACTCGCATCACCGAGCAAAAGCTCTTATTTTGTTTTTTTGCCATAAACTATCTTAAAAACAGATCTGACACCACTTTAATTAAAAAGTTATGCCATGCAAGGAGTTTGCTCACTGATTAAATGCAAAAACCAGCAACACTGAAATAAATTAAACGAATAAAGGTGCAAATGGGATGGGAAAAGCAATAACTCAATAATTTATTATCTGCCCAATCTCTTGTTTTAATTGCTTTTCGCCTATTGGTTATTCTGATACGCAAAAGTGTAAAAGCTAATAAATAGCTTCGTATAAGTCAAGATATCGTTGCCATTCTCGTAGTACCCAATAAACTCTAATGACTCGTTTTGAGACCATCAACTGGACTCACAGGATGAGAGAGCCTCTGCTTGTCCCAGGCATAAGTGATCGCTGTCGCTTGAACCTGGGTTGGTCTCACGCCCCAACTGTGGGAAATCACATACATTTAACGAACTTTTATTGGAAAATGTGACTTCAAAATTGCGAAATTTCAACCTTTTGGAGTAAAATCAATGTCGCAGAACATCTAACGAAACGGATTAGGGGTGATGATGCAAGTTACTGTGTGATTTTCCAAATGACCTTTGAGTCCTAACTACCTGGGCATGGTCTGAAACAGAGAGGACGCACGGTTAATGGTTGACAGATGGAGAGAATTGTAAAGTTTGCTTTCTAAACACTCATTAGCGAAGCAAAAGTAAATTGGAATGGGAGGTAATTTCATGACAAATGCATAGCCGTCTTTATAAGCTCCTCTTCATTGCCTCAATTCCGTTCTCCTCACCCTCGAATAAATTGTCTCATTTCTACGACTTCGGCCTTAATCATAAAGGCGGCATTCGGACTTACTATTTGTGCGTCTTTTCATTACTGCTTTAGGAGTACACAAGAATGGGATTCTTGCGGCAGCCTTCATAGCTAACACCAAGGAGAGCTTGTTGATAGATACCACTGCAAAGCAAGACACCATGAAGGATGAGTGGACACACAAGAGTCTGCCACCAGTGTTTCAGCTTGTATTAGGCTTTTGAAGTGAAGGGTTATTGTTATTAAGTAATTTTTTTGGATTTGCCTACTGCACATCAACAGTTTAAATTGGCTTCCAAAGGTGGGAAAAGCGACCCTTTTGCCAGACGATTTGTAGAAGTCCTGAAGGGGGTGGAGTGGAGGTGTGTTGTATCGGACGCCTCTGACCGAAGTCGAGACATTCAACTAGTTTGAATGTGAGCAATGATGGAAGGCACAGCAAATAAAAAGCTGTGCTTTAAGACAATATCGAACACACTTTGGTGGTCAGTTTCTGTTATTGTTAGCAGTGCTCTCTGATCCTCAGTGCTTCCCTTCCAAGCTGGACTTGATGAACTACTTTTGTAAGAAGAACAATTAGCTCCACGAGCAAACGCCTCGGGGACAACTCTCCCCTCCCTCCCTCCCCTAATCAAGTGCCAAATTTTCAGTGGTTTACTACCGGAGGAGTGATTACACATGTCCGGCATGGCGTAGGTCCTTCCTTTGTCCTCCACTGTAGCAGTAGCATTAAAGTAAGTTAGTAAGTAAGTAAGTAAGAGTTACAGAGACCGAAAAGGCGAAGAAGGGCTATGAATAGGCTTAGCATGATAAAAGGCGGAATCAGTGCACAAACAGACGATCGGGTGTAATGCTGAATTCAACAAATACCCCTGTGAATTGCACCCCAAATTCTGGCAGCAATGCCGACTGATGCGTCTCGTGTTGCATGCACTGCCTCCTCTTGTCCTGTTACCGTCATCGCGTTAGTTTGTGCTTCTGTAGATGATTCTGTTCCATAAAGTTACAGCAACAACAATTGGTGTGATTAACTCCCTCATTATTTTACCATGACGTGTAGTCGAAGACTACCTGAAGAAGTAATCATGTGGGGTTGTCTCACTTTGGGGGAAAAAAAATAAAATAAATGGAGTCAAGCTGAACACAGAAGAAAAACTCATATGCAAGTCTGAGGAGTAGAAACTAGTGCTGTACAGTCACAATTTTTATTTTAAACAAATTTATTTGGTTTCGGTTG